GCTGTCTGTGCGTATGTGCGTAGGTACGTGTATACGTGGGCTGGCTGGCTGGCTGAATTGGGGGCGGGGCGGCTGGCCAATTAGCAGGCTTGCCCACACACAGTGGGCTGCGCTGTGTGTGTACGTTTTGGTGTGGTGTGGTGCCGTGGATGCTTCGACGGATGCACACGTACCGCTTTTGCCTAACTAGTTGGTGCGCGTCGCGTGTGCGTATGCGTATGTGTGTGTATTGTCGCATTATTGCATTCCTTCAGTGTCGTCGCAGGTGTGTGTGTGTGTGTATATCGGCGGAGCGGGTGCAGACAGACTAATGAATGCTAGACAGACAGACGGACAAGGGACGGACGGACGGACAGAATTCTTTCTTCGTGTCTTGTCTGTGTGTCTGTGATGCATCGGTCGTCATCCATCCCCAGAGACACCGAAAGACGTACACGACTGCATCCATCCATCCATCAGGATGGCCGGCTGGCGGGTGTTCTCACATGTATGTATATATGTTGAGCAGGGCAAGCAGCCTTCCCTTCCCTACACCCCACCCCACCACCGTCACTGACACTTCAAACAGACCCCAAGCCAAGACCCTGTCTATCTGTCTGTCTGTCTGCCTGTCGGCCTCTCTCGGTCGCCTGTCAATCATCTCTGTCCTTCTAGGTCCTCATCCGTCCAGCTCACGACGGGGAAGCTACTGCGTTTCCCTACAAGTGCATCATCAGCAGCCACCTCAGCACCATCGTCATCTCCACTATCATAGGGCGGAGGGTGGGAGAACGCACCCTCAGCAGCAAACCTACACACACACACACAGACAGGCAGGCAGGCAGGCAGACAGGCAGACAGACAGACAGCTACGACGCCCACAGACGGTACGCAGCCGACTCCTACCTTAAGTCCTTGTCTGTGGCCACGTCGTTCTCTGTCTCTTGGTGGTCGCGAGGCACACTCAGCCGCACAGACGGGCTGCTCATGCTGGAGCCGCTTGTCCGTCTACCCTGCGGTGGGCTGAGCTGGTTGGGGTCGCCGCCTTCGAGCTGTTCAGCCGAGTACTGCTCCGGGATGCTCAGCTGCAGGGAGCTGCGGCGGGTGCCCGGCCGCTGCGGGTCGGGACACACAGCCAAGGAGCTGCGCCTGCAGACATGGATGCACTCAAACTGTTGTCGCTTTTTGGTAGGGCCGACCCGAGATTACCTTTCTTGGATGAAGTTCTGTATGGTTGATGCGACGAGCTCCTCACTCAAGGCAGTCTCCTTGACGGACAGACGCCTGCAGACATTGCAACACAGGTGAAGGCAGACAGACAGACAGGGAGACAGACAGACAGGGAGACAGGGAGGGGGGGAGGGAGACAGGGAGACAGGGAGGGAGGGAGGGAGGGAGGGAGACACCGAGTTACTTGCTAAATCGCATTCCGATGCCGAACTCCTTGAGCATTTCTTCCTCGGGGATCGTGTCGCTGCCTGCACACTCCAATGCAACGAACGAAGGCACTGCATGGACCATCCATCCATCCATCCCCAGCCCCACGCGCCTTTGCCGAAGACGTGTTCGAGGGCCTTGATGTATGCCGACCGCTCAACCACCTCCAGCTGCATCCACACCATGGTGAGATGGATACGCCACTCTCTCTCTCTCTCTCTCTTGCCGGTATGCTTGCATACCTTGAGCATTTCTATGGTGCTGTGCAGCTTGGACTTGTCTGATGCTGGGATGGCGGCGATGTCGGCCTCAAGAGCCTTCCGGGACGTGTTGGACAGGCAGTAACCCAGCTATATATAGCGCAGCACACACATGTTGTAAGACAGACAGCCTTAATTCACGAGTGCATCTCTGTCTGTCTGTGTGTCTGTCTGTCTGTCTGTCTGTCTGTGTGTCCCTGACTGACGATTTTCATGTCGAGTGCGAGTTTTTTGTTTCTCCTGTGGTGGCGGTCCTTGAGTGTCGGATGGCTGGCCACGAGGAGGGGCAGCACCACCGACAAGACGACAGAGAAGACGCTCAGGAAGATGGTCAGCACCAACACGGCCGCAAAGAACGCCTCATTCTAAGCAAAGCACACAGACAGACAGACATCCATCAGTCCGTCGGAAGGCGCTCGATCTCCTCTCTCTCTGTGTCTCCCACTCGCCCACTTCGTCAGAGCGTCCGATGAAGTAGCTGCCGGCCACACACATGATGGCCAGCCCCAGCAGCAACATAATGTCCAGAACTACAGACACAAGATACAGAGAGTAGGACTTGCACGAGAATCATTCAAGTGGCTCTCTGTAGCATGAGACAGTGGCACTCCGTGTCTTTCCTCCCTCCCTCTCTCCCTCCGTCCCTCCCCGCCTCACTGTTGTTCTCTGTGCTGAACCACGGCCAGAAGTACGCCTGCACGTCACACACATCCACGTAATAAAGTGCGTGTGTGTGAGTGGGTGTTGCAGTGCTCGCCTGGAGGGCCATGGAGATGATCAGGATCGTGAGCGTCACCAGAACCTGGACACTGCACCGAAGACACCAACACGCCAATACACAGGTCTCTCTGTGTGTGGTGTGGTGTCTCGCTGGCTGACTGTCCATCGTTGGGCGTCATTGCGGTGACAGTGGCGATGAGCAGATTCCTCAGCATCAGCAACGCCCCCCACCTGCACACACCCACACCCACACCCACACCCACACCCACACACACACCACGCACGCAGGGCATCAGGCAGGAGACACGGAAGTGGCCTGCGTGCAAACACATACATACCAGTACACATCGGGCCGAAACCTGCAACCAGAAAGAGACAGAGAAAGAGAGTGCATACCCGCCGGCTGTGTGTGTGTGTGTGTGTGTGGTTGGTGCCTAAGGAAGGGCTCACCTACCGAAAGACGAGGAATCTGAATCGTGTCCTGAAGGACGCGCTGTGGAACCGAAATGGGGCCATGATGGACGTGTAAGAAAAGAACACATACACACCGATCTGCACAACAACCACAGCCACACACACACACACACACAGAGAGAGAGAGAGAGAGAGCATCTCGACACCTCCCGCCGGCTGTCTTTTCAGTGTGCCAGCTGACTGGCCAACCACATAGACACAGAGCCCCAGCAGGCCGAGTGGAAGAAAGACGTGTCGCCATTGGTCGCTATCGCACAGCACACTCGGGTACGCCAGCAGAGTCCGACGGCCGCTCGGGTGGATGTAGCACTGCACACACATACATACGCAGCCACAAAGGGCTGACCGATCTGGTGACTGTGTAGTGGAAGGTTCTATGGGCGTCAGTCAGTTTTTCACCTGGAAGGCTTTGCAGACATTGTTGACGAATGACACGTATAGGATGAGTGTCATCAGCCCGATGCTGTTGTGAAACTTGTCGAAACTCGTTATCTGCATGCACCATACCAGACACGGACACACACAGAGAGAGAGAGAGGCGTTTGTACACAGGTGGGTGGTGCCGCGTGTATGCCATGGATCATGCTTGCGTACGTCGGACTCGATCATTTCCTTGACGTGCAGCTTCATGGCCGTCACCGCCCTTGTCAAGCCCCTTTTCGGAGACTTCTTGGGGCCGCCACCCGTGCCGTCGGTGGTGTTGTCTGCCGCGGCAGGGCTGATCCTCAGCTGCTTACGCTGCTGCTGCTGCTGATGGTGAGCAGAGAGGTACACACAGTCCAACCATCTTGCTTCGCCTCCCCTCCCGTCCCATCTTCTCTCTCTCGGCTTACCTTGTCAAAGCCCGTCGTCTCTTTGCCCGGCTGGTACTGTTGTTTCTGGTCAGTCATGTCATCCCCCTGCTGCTGCTGCTGCTGCTGTTGCTGATCGGCCTCTGTGTGCTGCAGCAGGTCGCTTACCATCGCCAAAGTGCTGCCCTCGATGGACCCAGTGTCTCGCTTGAACGGGCTGACAGGGCTATCAGGGCACTCAGTGGAGTCGTCCCGGACACTGCCCCGGACACTCTCTCTGTCATCGCCCCTTGTGCTGCCGGCAATGTATCCCTGCCGTCGGCGGCTCTCGGCGAACTCCGACAGTGCGTCGCGAAGGTTCTCCCTGTTGACCATGCGAAACATGAAGCGGGTGAGGGAGGAGCGCTTGCCGACGTAGACACCGCTGGGGCCTTCCTCGACGGTGGGCACTGCGTCCATCCATCCATTCATCCATCCATCCGTCTATGCGATGGTTGTGTGTGGCGTGGCTGACCAGGAATGACTCCGGCGAGTTTGAGAGCCTTGCAGACGGCCCACAGGGAGAGGAAGATGGCTACCAGAAAGAGAGGGAAGATCTGCCTGAGGACGTAGTCGAACACCGGGGCATTGCCCAGGATGCAGCCCGTACGAATCCACTGGATGTCCAGCACTGCACACACGTGTCACCAAAGGTGTGTGGTGTGTGTGTGTGTTGGCGTGACGTACGGAAGACAGAAGTGAACTCGAAGAGGACGTGGACGTACTCCGGGTAGGCAATGGTAAAGGTGCCGATCTGTGCAGCACACACATACACACACACACACACACATCCACACACACCACGGCCAACCTTAACCCATTGTCTCTCTCTCTGTCTCTCTCTCTGTCTCTCTGTTGATGGTCTCTGTGTGTGCGTACGACGGTGAGGTTCTGCATAAAGTTGACGAGCATCCCCAGCGTGAGCGAAATGTTCAGCGTCACTGCCAACTGCACACACACACACACAGAGAGAGAAACTCCCTCTCCCTCCCTCGCCCTATGTATATCTCCGACCTTTCTGGTCTGTGGTGCGTTGACGAGTATGTGGAAGAGCGCCCCCGCGAGCAGCAACAGGAGCACCGTGATGAGCATGGGGGGCGTGCCGTGCCTGCTGTCGCACTTGCGGCACTGCTTGTTGGTCTTGTAGTACCCATCCACACACAACCTACACACCCACACGTACGTCCAGTCCACACAGACAAGAGAGAGGGGCGTGCTTCTCTCCTTCTCTCGTGCCCAGCCCCCCTGCTGTCAGTCCAGTCCGGCCAGCCTACGAGCACGAGATGCCCTCTCGCCCTTCGTCGCACATGGGCATCACACCCGCCAGCAAGGGGTCCGGGCTGCCACCTGCCAAACAGCACCACATGCAATCCACTGACTATGTCGGTGGGTTGCCGTACCAGGGCAGGCGTCGATCTCCAGGCACCGGAATATCTCGAGGCCGCTGAAGGACGACTTGTCAATCACCTCGGCCGCCCAGTAATTCTGAGCGGATGCGTTCACACACACACGAACAATTAAGGGGATGGACCGTTCACCGCTCTGTGTTTGTCTCGGTCGATAAGCGACGCACCCGCTCCACCAATGGCAGGTCATACGAATGCGAGCCGGGACATTGCAGGCCCTCGCGGCCGTGACATGCTGCGCCACCCAACACACACACACACACACACATCAATCCATGGCAGCCTGAACAGCTGTGTGGCTGATATGATGGGCAGCTAGCTGTGCTGTCGGTCGTCGGCTGACTGCTGTCCTACCCACGTACAAGTGCATCTGTTGCTGCTGATGTCCAGGTAGCTCCCCTCCGCACAGGTGCAGTTGCCCATCTGACGCTCGCCCCTGCTGAGGGTCGTCTTGCTGACGGGGCAGGAGAGGCAGTGGGTCGAGTTGGCCGCCGACTGGAAGGTGCCGTAGGGGCACAGATCGCACTCACTGGCGCCCCCGGCCTGGGAGAAGGAGCCAGGGGGACAGGACTGGCACTCCGATTGGCCAGGCAGGTCCTGGTACGACCCTGGGCTGACGATCAACACCACACCCAACACACACATGGATGGATGGATGGATGAATGGATGGATGGATGAATTGTGTCGATGTGTGTCTCTCTCTCTGTGTGTGTGTGTGTGTTGTGTGTGTGTGTCTCCTTCCTCACTGACCTACAGGGGGTGCATTCGGCGGCCTGGCTGCCGGAGAAGTGCCCCATCTGCCAACCGAGGAAGCATTTGGGCAGCAGCTAACTAAGCAGGATCGATAAGACAACCTGACTGACACCGCCCGCCTGACCTGGCAGACGTCACAGTCGGTCTGCCCCGTCGAGTTCTGGAAGAACCCCTCACGGCACGGCACACAGCTGAGCTGATTCGGGACCGAGCTCACCGTCCCCACATCACACTCCACACACTGACCCTACAACCACAGCCACAGACACAGACACACAACACACAACACACAACACACAAAACACACACACACACAGACAGACAGACATGTGTCTCACGGACGGATGGATGGATGGATGGCTGAGTACCAGTGTGTTGACGTATCGTCCGGCCGGGCAGTCGGGCGGAATTGAACTGATGCCGCTGACCTCTTTCCGCCGCCTTGTGCGTGGTCGGCCGGGGTAGGTGACTCTGCCCTCCGGGCCGGGCCACACGACGGGGGCGCTCGCGTCCCACTGGAGGCCGCCATCGTCTGTGTACTTTGCCAGCTTGACCGTCGCCCGTGTGGCGCCCTTTTCCCATACACACACATAAAAAGGGACACACGCAGAGAGACGTGACTGACGAGGCGACCTCAGTGGCGTGTGAGTTGCTTGCCTGTGTTTGGACGATGAAGTAGCTGCCGATCCTGCTGGCGGTACGAGGTGTGAAGCGCACGTAGCCGGTCACGCCCCAGTAGTCGGCCTTGAGGCTTTCTTGCCACAGCCATTCCAACGTGCTGTTCGTCGGCTCCTCCTGCACCCGACATCCACACTTCCATCCATCCATCCATCCATGAGCCCACACGTGGCAACAGACCAGCTGCTGCAGTGTGCCTCCGTCCCGGAACCATGCATCGAGAACTCGCGCCCACTCCCTGATGAGTGACCATACATTCTCTCTCTGTCTCTGTCTCTGTCTCTCTTTGTGTGTATGTGTATCTGTTTGTGATGCAACCATGCCCACCAGACGGTGTCGTAGAAGAATGCCGAGGCCTGTGTGGCGCAGCGGGCGGAGCCAGCCGTGATGCACGACAGCACGTACTCGTCGTACACCTGCAGGCGTCATCACACACCACACTGGCTGTCAACCAGCACACACACAGACAGACACAGAGACGCACAGTTCTTCTCACCTCTCGAGCAGTCCTGTTAGAGACCGCGTGTGGCGGCCCCCCATAGTGCCAGGTACCCGGATCGATGTCCAGGTAGAAGGGCATCACCTGCAGACACCCGCACACCCGCACACACACACAGAGAGGGAGAATGGGGAAAGAGAGAGAGAGAGAGAGAGAGAGAGAGACAGCAGGCCAGCGCGCCAAGGAGACACGGACGCACACTGTCGATCTGCGCTTGGCTGCAGTCGGTCTGCTCTGTGGCATCCCCGGGAGCCTGTAGGCTGATGAGCACCACACGGGTGTTGTTGGCGAAATAACCCCGCTTGGCCTGCACACATTTGGGCACAGTGCGCATGCGAATGTCGATAATGTCTCTTGTGTCTCATGGGGGCTGGGCTGGCTGGCTGGGCTGGCTGACGAGTGCGCAGTTGAAGTTGGAGCCCAGTGTGGTGAACCACGCCGTGATGATGACGCGGGGCCGCTGCTGCACCAGCTCGTCTATCAGCCCGTCGACTTGCGATGGCGACTGCATACGTGAAGGAGACACACAAGGGTAGGTCATCGGCAAGAGATTTCCACCACGTTAGGTGCGGTGCAGTCAAGCAGTGGATACCTTGACCGTCCAGGTGCCCATGTCGTGGTCGTCATACTCGACCAGGGAGGCTTTGACGCTGGCTGCCAGCTCTAGCATGAAGGGATCCTCCTGACACATATTATACGTGGATTGACCCATATGGATGTGTGTGTGTGTGTGTGTCTACTCATTCATCGGCCGGCCCACCTGGACGAGCCAGAAGAACCTGGTCCACGCGAATGTCCTGACCATACCCTTGACGATACCCACTTTCTGACACACACACACACACGCGTGACGCACGGACACCAAACGACCGATGCACGACAAACCAACACTACACTTACACTTACACTGTTTGCGTCGGGTGGCATCTTGGTCAGGTAGGGGTAGACAGTCGTGTCGGCGCAGTAGGGGCTCTGAAAGCAAGAAGGGAAGAAGGGACAAATGGATGCCTGGATGGCTGGTGGATTAAAGGGGTATCCATCCATAATCCATTCAGGTCACCTTGACGAGCACATTGAGCGCTCGGGCTATCGGGCTGATGACGGAACAGCCCACGCTGCATCAATGGACAAACAAAGGCACGTGAGTGACGTACAGCACAATAATTCTGCAGCGATCCTTTGAATCGTCTTGTACGGGCAGTTGTCGCCGATGACGCCAACCTTGGTCGGGCTGCATACATACATGCCAAAACACAACAGCAGCACAACGGATACGTCCGTCCGACCACACATGGATGGCATGCAATGCAGGTCACCACCTGCCCTGCCCAGCCCACACACCCATTCTTGAAGGCCGCCACTGCCGCGTTGGCCACGTTATCTGCAGTCACCAATCGGCACAGACACATCCATCCATCCATCCATCAGACATTCAGTGAAGTGTCCCTAATTGTGTCGGGTCTCTGTCTGTTGTCTGCCTCCGTGCAGCACACTGTGCACCTCCCTCACCGATCTGGCACTTGGCCGGCCTGACGGGCTCGAGAACCAGGTGGTGGCCCGGCAAGACGTCCGTGCGATTGTTGAGGTCTGCCAATGCCGACTCGATGAGCGGCCATATGCGACTACACACACACACACAAACACACACACACACACAAGTACGTATCGATTATATTCTCTTACTGGTACGTATGGATGGCTGTGTATTTCTCTTACTCACTTTTGTAGGTCTCCATCAGAGCTGTCGATGGCCAGCAGGGTGATGTTCGGGTTCGCACACCGGCCCGGACTGATGACGAGCGACACAATCAGCGCCAACAGAAGCGCCGAGGATGGCTTCAGCTGCGACACCGCGACGATGAGGGATGTGGTGCGGGCCATGGTCATGCTTCAAGGCTACCGGCGGTGCCACTGGCTGCACAGGACAGGCGGGGCCTGCGAGATGTGTGTTCCGACCTGAAACGCCTTTGGTGATGTCCGAACGGAAGGAAAGTGGGGCTTATTGAGTGGGCCGATTTGGGGCCGTCTCGATTCTTTCTTTAATATGGGCAGGCGGCCGTACCGCTGGTCACAAGTAGTGATTATCGCGACGGGCCAACCAGTCACGTGTCCGTACAGAGAGATGATACGCATACACGCAGAACTCCACTGCTCTCATCTGTCTGCTCAACATCACATACACACATGCACACTCACACAGTGAACGGGAGCGTTAACACACAGCAGACACACACGAGATCGACACGCTTTGATGCATCCACCCCCCACATGCAGGCCGGTCACTTTGTGAGGGCCACCACCACGCAAGGCAGCAACTCATGTATGGATGGATGCGTGTGAATGTGTGGCATCCATGTGGTCGCTGTACACACGATGAACGTACAGCACACCCAGACACATTCACACTCACACTCACACGTCGACGAGTGGGTAAAGGATGTGCTGCATGGCACATACATGACCTCCGTGAGCGTGTGGCCTTCCTCCCCTCCCTGTGGAACATGTGTGCCCGTCAGCCAGCCGAAAAGAAAGAGCCCAGTCCATACGGGAGGGAGGCTGGCGTCACCCAGCCGCCACCGAACAACCGAGCGCACAGCATGAAGCTCAAGCTACACCTACCTACCTACCTGCAAACACAACACAAACACGCTCCGTCTTCAAGTTCTTTCTTTGAAAGGCACAGGAAGGAAGAAGATACACACACGTACAATGGACAGACAACGCACTGCACTCACTGCAGCAGCCAGGCCAAGCGATGAGAAGGCGCACGAGCGCTCTGAAAGCGTGCACACCCTCCCACTCACTTGACTGCCGCACACAATTAGGGGCACGTGTGTAAGTACGAAACATGGCCTCTCCACTCCACCCAGACCCCCACCACACACACGCACGCACACACACACATCCACACTTCACTGCTCTCCTGCACTCCTGCAGACGACAGGCGTCACTTCATTGGGCAGCCAGCTACACTACATTCTGTCGTCTGTCCATCAATCAGTCCTTCTCAGCCTCCGGCTCCTCCTCGATGCTGCTCTGCCGGTGCTCCACACCCATGGGCACCAACACGGCATCACGACCAACACCACCACCGGGGTGCCGTGTGCGTGTGGGGGTGGGCTGGCCAGTCAAACCAAACTGCGGCACGCAGGAGCCCCTGGAGGGCGACAGCACGGCATTGGCCGCAGCGGCCAGCCGAGAAGGCGGCCCCTCTGCTTGGATCGACGAGGGCCGCTCTGTCTCGGCTTCTGCTGCTGCCTGGGGCAGCTGGAGAGTGGCCGCACCGGTGGTGTCGATGTCGGTCTGTTGGGGCGTCATGATGGCTGCGATGGCTGCGTGGAGGTCGTGGTTGAGAAACCGGCCCAACACAGTGATCTCCTCAGACACTGCACACAAGACACCACACCATGAGACACACGAGGGCTCACTGGTTCTGTGCTGTTGGTTGGGTGACCCACCTAGCGGTAAAGGTGCCACTCCATCAGTCTCTGCCGGCCCCCCACCGCCAAAACCACCGCCACCCCCGAGGCCGTCGGCAGTCCCCAGGTGATGGTCGTCCTCGTCCTCCTCGACAGGGCCCAGCTTGGCCATGCTGCCCAGGCCCTGTTCCTTCTTGAGGATCAGAAACACCGCCTGCAGCTTGGCCTGCCACCCCAGCACCTTCTGCTTCTCGCACCGCTGCCTCGCCACCTGCCGCTCGCGCGCCTCACAGTTGTCGCGGCACACCGCCAACAGCATCTCGCCCGCACAGTGGAACTCGTCGGATCCTGGCAACGTTTGACCCTCCGTCTGCTCGCCGAATGCGTAGCTGGGGGCGGTGGTGGTTGTGGCTGCGGCTGTGGTGGGCTCGTAGAGACACCGCCCCAGCAGGAAGTAGCCACGGCAGAGCTCGGCCTTGCACTGCCTGAGCTTGCCGAGGAGCTCCTCTCGGGCCAGCATCCTCTCCCTCTCCACCTGGTCGTAGTACGACGGGTCGATCTCCTCGCCCACCGCCTCGCCGCCCTTGTCCGAGGTCGACGGGAGGTCGAGCGTGGGCATCCCACGGTCGATGGCGCTGGCGCCGAACTCGGGCGACGGCGCGGGCGGGAGGATGGTGGGGATGTAGTCGCGGAGCTGCTCGAGCTGCTCGAGTGCCGAGCGGATGTAGTCCTCGGCCACTCTGGGCTGGTGCTTCTCCAGGAGGATCCAGCCGACGTTGAGCTGCGTGGCGGCGAGCACCAGGCTGTCGTCGACGTCGTTGGAGCCGATGCTCGGGTGGCGCGCCAGGTGGGGGTCCTTACGCAGAGATCGCTGCACATCACACACACACACACACACACACAGCGAACGAGGAAATGGCGCTGTGGACGATCGATGCGTTGTGTGTGTGGTGTGGTGTGGTGTGGCTGGCTGGTCACGCACCCGCACTTCGAGGCTCTTCTGCAGCAGCAGGGAGGCCTCCTCCAGCAGGGTGTGTCGCTCCGTGTGCTGCTCGTCATGGGTCGTGGTGGCGTTTGTGACGGTGTTGATGATAACCAGCGGGACGCGGCCGTCCGCCTCCTCGCCACACGAGGGGGTCGGCAGCAGCCGCAGCAGGGTCGCACCCAGCTCTGCAGCCGAGTCGGCGAAGTTCGCTGCCGCCCCTGCGATCTCGTAGGCACGAAGACTCTGCCTGAAACACACACAAGACGGGACGGAACACACACCACAGATGAGCCCAGAAACCTCCCTCTCCGCCTGCCAGCCAGTGTCTGCTGTCTGTCTGCTCGCTCACCTGAACAGCGGGACGGCGTCTCTGAATCTCTTCTGGGTCTCGTAGAGCAGCCCCAGCCTGTGCACGGTCTCGGCGATCTTGAGGTGGTACTCGGGCAGCACCTGCTGCTTCAGCGCCAGGGACTTCTTGAAGAGGCACTCGGCCTTGCGGTAGTCGCCCTTGGCCACCATGACCGTCGCGAGGTCGTGGTAAGCAAACCCCACCTCAGGGTGGTTGCGGCCCAGCTGGCGACGCTTGATCTGCAGCGAACACTCCAACAACCTGCAAACACACACAGAGAGAGGGGCAGACGGAGACAGAGGTGGAAAACGGATTGCGTGTACGGCGTTTCGACGGCATACTGACTTTCTGGCGGCTTCTAGCTCGCCACAGTTGCCGCAGACGACGCCGAAGCTGGTCATGGTGTGGGCGGTCTGCAGGCCGCCAGGGTTGAGCCGCTGCCGCAGCTCCAGACACCTGAGGTAGAACTGCTGGGCCATGGAGGCGTTGTGCCGGTAGTCCCACCAGTACACCGCCAGGGCAAACAGCAGCCGGGCGTGCATCTCGCTCTGCGCCACGGGCGCCCCCACCGCCTCCACTATGTCGAGGGCCTCCTGGAAGTACCGGCCTGCCTCGTCATAATACCCCAGGTCGCACATGAGCTTGGCCTCGAGCGACGCCATCTCGGACCGGTGCGTTGCCATGATCCGCCGCCTCTCCCTCTCGCTGTCGACGCCGCCCACCGTGCTGATTGTCGCGGGGACGCCGTCGCTCGACCTGGCCGACTGCTCGGAGGCCGGGCTGACGGTGCGGCGGCTTTCCCTCTCCTCGTGCACCCCCCGATGCGCGAGCTCCTCGTGGCCCTCGGCAGCCCCCGCCGGCTGGGTGGCCTCCTCCTCCGCCGCGACGACATGGATCTCCGGGCGCCCCGCCAGCATGCACCTGTCCCTGCCGTGTCGTGGGGAGCCCCTCCCGGCGCCACTGATGGCCGTGCTGCAGCAGACGGGGTGCGGCTGCGGCTGGTCGTGTCGGGCGTCGCTGCTCTCGCGCGAGAGGGTGTCGACGGGGACTGGGACGAGGTTCATGGCCACCTTGACCAGCGCCGCGGCATGGGAGACCAGGCCCATGTCGCGGTAGGCGTAGCCCAGCTGGAACAGGATGTCCGACAACACCTTGTACCGCCCACTGCTGGCCGTGCTCGTGGCCGTGGCTGTGGCTGCGGATGGCTCGTCGGGGATGGGAGAGGAAGGCCCCTCGGCTGCTGGTGTGGTTGTGGTTGTGGCGTCTCTGTCCCACCACCATCCCTCAGTCGGCGCGGTCAGGCGGCTCACGCGGCTGTGGTTTGACAGCGCAGAAAGGGCGCTCACGTCACGGTCGAGCGAGAGAGGAGGCGGCATGTCTCTATCGATGTCGCCCACCCCCGTGCTGAGGGACCGCTGCATGTACGTGGCGGCGAACTCGGTGAGGGTCTTGCGCAGCCTGTCCCTGCTGAGCTGCTCGCTGCTGATGCACCCGCCGTCAAAGTCAGGCCGCCGCTTGACGTTAAGCTGCGCCGACAAGAAGACCATGGTGCCCTCGGCCGCACGCCGGCAGGCGTCCTCCATCGTGGCCTTGCCGCTCTGCAGTGCGTTGACCAGCGCATCAGCCGCCAGCATCGATGTGTCCCTCGAGTGGCCGCCACCATTACCAGCCCCTGGAGCAGCAGCAGCAGCAGGTGGTGTGTGGGTGTGGGCGTGGGCGTGGCTGTCTGCTGCAGCCGGGAAGGGGAGGTAGAGGTAGTGGTGCTCGCCCAGCTTGATGGTGGTCTTCTGCCCGGCGTGTGTGTGGCCGCCGACGGGGGGCGGGAGGTCTTCCGGGGCGTCTAGCTCGTCTGAGGGCGAGAGGAGGTAGAATGAGGGCGGGAAGCACGCCTCGGGGGTGATCTCGCGAGAGGGGGACGTGACGGGCGCCTCCAACTGATTGATCAACAGGTACACAGACATAGAGCGAGAACGACTATTGTCTGATGGTATGGTCGGTTCTGCTGCTCACCGTTTGTGACATGTCGAGTTTGCCGAGGATGGTGTTGCTCATCTGGAATGGGTGTTCGGCGGCGGTGGCAGGGTCGGGCTGCGGCACCACCCCGGTGGAGCTGGCCAGGTCGGCCAGCAGGTCGTAGTCGATGTCAGGATTGACAAGGCTCGCCATCTCGATCTCATTCTGACCAGAATGACAAACACATGCACGGAACCAACCAGTGAGATGCACTGTTGCGGCCCGTCCCGTCCACCCTCCCCCACTCCCTCCCCTCTCACCTGTGCAGCCTTGGCAGTGCCTGCGCTGTCATTGCTTTTCCTCACCAGCCTGTCGCTCGCGCCCTCATGGTCTGCCGCACGGGACACCACCCCCACCCCCATCCCCCCAGCCACCTCTCCCGGCCTCTCACTCGGCATCTTCTGCCCTATCAGCTCGGCGATGATGATCCCCAAGGCACGCTCGTACAGCTCCACCCGCCGCATGGCCTCGAAGCGCCGCTTGAACACCTCCTTGCCCAGCTGCAGCAGCGCGAAAAAGGCAGGCGTGAAGCCCGCCAGGTCGAGGGCCAGCTCGATGTTGGGCCGCTCGCGATCGAAGAGCCGCAGCGCGGCCTGCCCGGCCGCCCACGGCGACGAGGGCGCGGGGCCGCCGTGGTGGCCACTGGCGGTGCCCGGGGTGGCTGCGGGGCCAGGGGATGGGGCGACAGTTGCGCTGCTGGTGGTGGTGGCGGGTGTCTGAGGGTGCTGGTGGGTGTAGAGCTTCTCGTGCGCCTGCTGCTTGGTCATGAGATCGTAGTGGTGGGCGACCCGCCACATGACCTGAGTGATGTAGAGGACGAACCTGCAGCGGATCTCGGCACGCAGCGAGGGCTGCTGGGGCAGCGGGGCCTTCTTGAGGTAGATCCGGATGAGCGTGTGGACGAAGTAGCTGTTGATGGTGCTCTCGAACTCGACCAGCTTGCTCTCGAAAAGCAGGCCCAGGATCTGACGGGTGTGCTCGAAGTCCTCGTTGAGCAACGCACTCGCACCCTCGAGCGTGAAGTGCCCGATGAAGATGCTCAGCGTCGTCAGGGCCTGCCGCAGCGGCTCCGCGAGGGCCTCCACCGACGGCTGCACGCAGGCCGCGTACTCGGAGAGCGACAGGGTCAGGTCGTGGTCGGAGTCCCTCTCAAGCGATGCCGCCACTGACTCAGGCGTCATGTCAGGACGGCTGCCCAGCAGACGGCCGATCACACGCAACGCTGAATGAACACATGAATGAAGCACACAAGTGAGAGAGAGGGGGAGATGGTGGGGGGTGTGTGTGTGTGTGAGTTGGTTATGGTAACCTACCGAGTGGCAGGTGTCCGCAGAGGTCTCCAATTCTGGCGGCTGGTTCGACGTCCATGTTGGGGCAGAGCTGCCGCAGCAGCCGGACAGAGTTGGTGCGGTCCAGCTCACGCAAATGGATGTGCTTCGGAACCAACGGACACTTCTCGGGCAAATCTGCACACACACACACACACGCACACACGTTATCCCTGTGTCGGTACAGTAGGTTTGTCTGTCTGTCTGTCTGACCGGCCGGTTTGATGATTCGTCGCGATGTTAGGAGGATCTTGAGGTGCGGGCATGAGTCCAGCAGCTGCACCACCCACGCCAGAAACCGCCGCGGCGTCCGACGCAGCAAATCCTCAGCTGAAACAAAACAAAGCCAACAACACACCCGATCCAGCATACAACACCACACACGCACAAACCCCTGGGGCGCACCGCACCGCATTTTACCCACCGTTATCGAAAACGATGAGCCTCTTGCCGTTGATGTGCGGCAGTGGCTGCTGTGTGTCGGGGTCAGACGACGCCCCCAGAGTGGAGCACGCCGTGCCGCTGACGCCCTCGACCCACTTGAGGCCCTTGAGCGGCATCCACGACACGCCCTCGGGAAACCAATTCCGCTTCCTGACGTTTGTGGGGCACGACGTCATGACACAGACACCACTCGCACAGTGAGGCGGGCTCTTTATGGGAGGGAGGGAGTGTGCCTGGCGTGTGGTGTGCGCCGTACCAAGCATACTGCGCCACTACACATGCAAGGGTGGACTTGCCGATGCCTGGAGCACCCACAATCTACACACACACACACACACACACACTAAACGATGAGGAGTGTTCTGGGCATCAGTGTGTGTGGGTGGGGGTTGCTCACGTACCACTATGAATCGTTTTGGCGACTGTATGGCCCTGCTGACCTCCCACATCTCCACCTGCCGCCCCACCACCAAATCCATGTTGATGTGCGGCAAATTCGCCGTCGCACGACGGATCGACCTGCGCACACCACACCACACCACACACAACACATTCACACGTTTCCACAAGCACCACTTTACGCCAGATATACCTGTCGACGAAGAGCCCCGTCGGCAGTGATGAGAAGAGCACCTCCGAGTGGTCGGCAGCCGCCGGCAGCAACACAAACTTGTTCGACTGTCCAAAACAGACAGCACACGCATCAACCATGCCCTCGCGCACACGTGTGAGAGGTGTGTAGGTACCTCTTGCTGTGGCGAGGGGATCTCCGGCGAGTGTCTGACGAGCCAGCAGGCGTGCTTGAAGGACTGCTTGATGGAGTTGCCGACCAACAAAGAGTGGTAGAAGGCGTAGGCGAACTTGCGGGCGGCCGTGTCCAACACCTTCTGATCCGTCTCTACCGCAACCACGTGCTGAGCTCCCGCATCCAGACTGACCGGCCGATCCACACACACACACACACACACGCGACTGCTGCCTAGGTCTTGTTTATTGCGTTGTGTGGTGGTGGTGGTGATTACAATGCGGATGCGACGGCTCGCGAGTTGCAGCTGCTGAGCACCACGCACTGGCACGACGTGCCGCGCTGAACAAAACTCGACGGGCCAGGCGACCTGACACCAACACCAACACCAACACACCACCCACACACAACACACATGAGGCCCATTCTGACTGACAGACGGCTGGAAACCGCTGCCATCTCACCTGAAGAGGTCGCAGAGTGAGTCGGCCTGCAGCTCGGTGGCGCCCCCCGAGGAGTTCTCGAGCAGCAGCTTGCCCTCGGGCGTCGTGTGGCCAGTGAAATGCAGCACCTGACAACCTGCACACATACACGCACAGCAAACCATCACCCACGTGCGTCTGTGCGCCTTCTTGTGCTCACTCACTTACCCAGCTGCATGATGTGCGACAGTGACTCAGCGGTGCCGTACGAGAAGAGGTATGAGCACGACCGCTTTGCGTCCGTCATGGCCCGGACGAGCAGCTCCTGCTCGCTGTCCACGTCGAGCAGGTCTAGCGGGTTGAACGCCCCTGTGCCAGGGTCGACATACACCAACGGCGAACACCTATCACACAAACATAAGCCACACGTCGAGACTTCGTGGTGCATCGAGCGGGGTGCGGGGTGTGGTCAGGTCATTTCAGGTCATTTCTCCTCCTCCTCGCTGCCTCAGCTCACTCACCCGACAACGGCCAGGTCGACCGAGTAGCTGGCCCTGGCGTTTGCGTCGATCTTGAGCTGGTCGATGGCCCTGAGCAGTCGGCGGCGGTCGCCCACCGATGTGATGCCCATCTCTGCCAGGTCCTCACGGGTCACCTCAAACAACACGTCACCCGAGATACCGTGCTCGCGGAACTTGTCAGCCAGCAAACCCAGCGAATTCTGACCCAGCCACGACGCAGTGTCGTCCACCGTCCACCTGTGTGCAGATCACACACATCCCCACACACCGACAACCACGCATCATCTTTGCGGGTATATTGTGTGTGTGTGTGTGTGTGTGGCGCTCACTTCAACACATCATGCGGGTCAGGCCCGCTGCGGTCGCGGGCAAGCGAGAGCTGCGCCATGAGTGGGCTCAGCGACTCACCCCCGCCGAACTGCGATGGCTGCGTGAAGTGGCCGTCGCCCACGGGTAGCGGCTCCTCCGCCGTGTGCGCGTGGGCGTCCTGTGAGAGGAACTTGGACTTCTGCAGCAGGGTCTCTTCCTCCGACGCTTCGGACGACTGGTGAGGGGGGTGAGGGGGGTGGTGGGGAGGGGAGGGGGAGGGGGAAGGGGATGGTGATACGGCCTTCTGCTGTGGCTGGGCCGTGGTTTCTGCGGACACTTCAGCACTGGTGGCGGCCTGGCCGCTATCTCGCGTGTCTATCGTGTCTTGTGCGCCATGCTCGCTCTGCGCCACCTCCTCGCTCGATCTCCTCTCCTCTGGCGCGCGAGAAGAACTTCGCTGCATCCGAGCGAGCTAGGGATCGCTGTGTCACCAATATCAACACACTCGCAGCGCTTCTACGACACAACCCAAGACGATGCACAAGGGATCTTCCTCGTGTGACTCAAATAAGCAGTCGGGCAGGTCACCAGTAGAACATCACTGACAAGCTCGCCTGAGGTCAAGGGAAAGGTGCGTCGGACGATGTATGCGACGGTGGTGCGTGCATTCGACACCTGGTTGGGAAGCTTTCTGGGCTGCATCGGGCTGGTGGTGGCGCTGCCGTGGCTGCTGCTGCAGCAGGTGAGGAAGATCCAGGCCTCGGGGCTGCTGCCGCTCAACCTGTGGGACATCTTCCACGGCCTGCAGCCCTTCCCCATCGTCGGACCAGCCGCCGTGTCAAACATCGTAAGGCATGCAGCAAGAGTCTGCAGGTAGTGCCTGCGTCGTGGATGCGCTTGCGTGTGCCCTCTCTCTCTCTCTCTCTCTTTTTTTGTGTGTGTGTGAATGTGTGTGCAGACCTCTTTGGTAGCGCCGTATACTGGTACGTGTGTGGAGTGCGGATTGAAGGGCGGGCCGGAATGAGTGTGTATGCTGTGTGTGCGTGTGCGGTTTCAGGGAGCATCTTCCCGACCCTGCGGCTGATGGAGGTCAAGGGCAACACGCTGTGCATCGTCGCATCGGTGAGCCAGGCAGACAGCCACACAGCCAGCCAGCCAGGCGGGAAGGCAGGCGGGCGAAGCAATCAATGCCCATGACCTGCTCTCTGCCATGCAATGAATGGCTGTGTGTGTGTGTTGATCGTTGGTCAGGTGCGCAACCGCCCTTATCTGCGGAACC